CTAATTTGTTTTCCCCTGCTTTAGTTATGGTTAAATTTAGCTGTTTTGTTATTAATATTACCTGAAACAAGTAACTGAAATAGAGTTGTCTTAAATACAAGAAACAGGAGACATGGTAAGTTAGCTATCGCTGCTAGCTCGTCAGTTTATGTCCGAACAAAAAAATACACATTTATGGCAAGACAGCGTTCATTAGGGGAGTTCAAATGTCAGAAAGTCAGATTCTGGGATTAGCTTAGTTTTAATTAACCCTATTCAGGACTTTCATACGTAGAAGGTCTTTCAGGTACAGTGGACCCCAAGAAAGAAAATGTATTCATTATAGACTTTTATGCTATGTTAGGTATATTTTCTGATAAGTTGGCGTATTTTTGGTTCCAAATGCATGACAAATGTCCCTCTTTTTATATTTTAAATAATAATAATCTTCAAAAATAAAAAGAAACAATAACTGTCACCTAAACTAAATGGCCTGGCGTCCAAAAGACCCCAAAAGTCCTGAACAGTGTTAAATGTGTATTTACTGTGTTTTGGTTTCATAGGACCGTTTGAGTTACTGACTTGTTGATCCTTTATGATTGTGTGATTTCACAGCTGTGTGTTTTTCCGTTATATAACCTGAATATATGTCCTTCCATTATCCACAGTCTATTTGTTGTTAGTTTGGCTTCTAGTTATGGTAACATTACTCCTACAGCTAATTAATCGTTAGCTACTATGAGCTAAGTGTTAGCCCTCAAACGAGGCTGTTATGTAGTCGCAATGGTTGGTCCTATGATAGTATACTAAATGTAGTATTAAGTTAAAACTAGTAGTACGGACTTTGTAGTAGAGATCTGTGTATTTGGTAGTACAGACTTGGTAATATGGATTTGGTTGTAGAGACTTGGTAGTACGGAGTTTGTAGTACAGACTTGCGTTCTTGGTCGTACGGATTCAGTAGTATGGACTTGTGTACTTGGTAGTACAGACTCAGTGGTGCGGACTTGGTAGTACAGATTTGTGTACTTGGTAGTACAGACTCAGTAGTATTCTTCAGTTTTGTTTAGCTCTTTAAGACAAACTGGAAGAAAACCAAAGTAACACTTGACAAGCCTGGTAATGAATTCCATGTTTTGTTTTGAAACTTCAGCTACAGGAAAATGTTCTGTCAGGATTTATCTGAACATATATTATATACAGTAAGTGTGTTGTTGTGGTATATACTAACTGATGGATCATTAATTAGCTCTGGAGCAACTTCAGGACAGATTGAGCTGTGTCTTGTCTCCTAATAATTATTATAGAAATAACTCCTATTAGCCTCTTGTTCATGGTATTGATCAGCCCTGAACATTTTAGCAGCCCCACAATATTCACAACGTAATCACGGTACAAAAGAGAGCCTATTCGCATCATGATCGGTGTCAATAACTAGTAAATTATCACTGTTTTTATGTCTATTTGGGACATGGGTTGTGCCGTTTGTATTTCAGATTGTTCTCCGGTTTTGTTAGATGTTATTACAGTTAAAGACAAGAAGGCACAAACTCGACCACCGTGGTTATGAATTACACATTTTAATTAGCTGAAGTCTAGCACATGTCAGTGATGCGCCTCATGCTCATGAACCTCATGCCGCTCATTCCCATCTCCCTGAAGCTCCTGTACTCTCCGGGCCTCAGGTACATCATCCTGCCTCTGAAGTGGGGCTGCTCGTACATCAGCCAGTGGCCGTCCATCACCTGGGAGGACATGCAGTCGGACATGCGGTAGCGGTCCTGGATGTTGTCGCAGTCCTCCATCAGCTCAGACATCTGACCGCTGAAGTTCTCCCTCTCGTAGATCCTCATCCTGAACTGGCCTCTGTGCTGTGAGTCAACACAGGAACAATGTCAGCGTGTCAGTTAAATAGCATCTTTCTACCTTCGTGCTACTCAGTTCACACACATTCATGCACCACACTGCCACAGAGCTGCCATGCAAGGTGCTGCCTGCTGTTGGGAGCATCGTCGGGTTCAGTGTCTTGCCCAAGGACACTTCGGCTGTGGAGGATCAAACCACCAGCCTTGCAATTAGAAGACAACCCGCTCCACCACCTGAGCCACAGCCGCCCATTTTAAAGCAACTTTACATGAAGCGTAGTCCAAGGATGTTTGGTAACACTTACAAAGGGGATCATTCTGCAGGACCTGATGGAGTCGAACATCATTCCCATGCTCATCATGCGCTGCATGTCGTGGTACTCGCCCCTCCTCAGGAAGAACTGCTGGCCCATGAAGTTGGGGCGCTCGTAGACCATGAAGCAGCCGCTCTCCACCCTGCAGGACTGACACCTGCTCAGGTAGGAGGACATGTCAGAGCAGTCGCTCATGCACTCATAGGAGCGACCCTGGAAGTTCCTGTCCTCGTAGAAGACGATCTGAAACACACCAGAGGTCACAATCGAGGGGTTGTTGGTGTCAGTGTTTCAAATTTTGATTTATGCAAACTGTCATTGGAAGATGAAATGTGTAGGTAAACGTCCCATTACCTTGCCCATGATGGTGGTTTAGGTTGTTCCCAGTGGATGGTTCAACTTGCTCTGCCAACTCCATGATTCCAGGGCCTTTTTATACAAAATCCCAGGGGCCATGTTGTGTTGTTATTCAAATGTGCAAAGCTGATGAATTAGCAGTATGACTTTGCTGAACGTGGCCTATTAACACATAACAATGGTTCTCCATCTATACATTTCTGGCAGCAGTCATCTGCATTGTCTATTATAAGCATAAGCTTTGTGTGTGTTCCATTCTCAGACAGAAGGTTCTCCACATATGGTCTGATCATCAGTGATGGAAAGAACATGGCATCGAGCCACATCTGACAAAACCACGACAGACCCAGAACCTGTACAAATACTCTGCTGCTATACAGCATCAACATACCGACTGTGTGTAACGTGTGATTTCAGTCGAGCTACTGATCAGACATTCTGTTTTAAACCACCGCTGTGTTCCAACACTTGATGTTGATTTACTGTAAATTTGTTTTGCGATGATGGGATGCCAGGTGACACAGCAGTTCAGCTGCTCATTACGCGGCATTCATAAATGTTATGTTATATAGACAGACTGTATGAAGCTAGAAATACAAGAAAAGCTGCTTGAGAGGAGCATTTAAATGTAAAAGAAGACATGTATGTGACCACTGTAAATGTCTCTGTGACTGCTGCACAGCCTGCTGATTCAAATGATGTACTTTAGAGGTAGTAATGCATTAAGATTAGCAAGTACTAGTACTATATACGACGTTAACCTTTGTTTACTTCTACAGTACGTAATAAGGTAACGGGGTTTTTGCAGCTTGCAGTGGGCAGGATTTCCAGTGTAAGAAGAGAAGAACATGTAAGGACTTCAATTACTTAACGAGGATTTATGCAATAATAAGTCTAGTCAAAGCTCAGATCTACAAGCCTGAGTGTCTACAAGTATCCCAAAGCTCCAGCTGATACGCAGTCATGTTAACGGTATTAAATGTTTTTCAGTTTGCGTGGTCACAAACCTGATCGGAACCATTTAAACCTCAATGCCTCTAAAAAAAAGTGGAATATCGAGAAAATCAAAATACAACAGAGTGAAACTGAAACCAGCTGAATGCAAATAAATCATAACATACGTTATTAAAAGCATCAGATTTACCTGAAACCTTCTCAAACTAGTGCATGAAACAAACATATATATGATGGTCCATCACTATATCTGTTGTTTGTTTGTTTTGTTGTCTCCTGTGGTGTTAAATCCTCTAAAACTCTCTGCCAGCTGTTTAATTCCTGCATCCGCTCTGAATATTTGCATAAAGGTAGCTGTTGGAATTAAGGCACATTTTGTTTTGCAGAAATTTGTTTTAAATTTTGATTAAATTTAGACGGAAACCAGTGTTGACCTCTGATTCATACACCTTTTAGTCAAAATGGCAAAAAGTCCTCCGATAAATGGATAAATGTTGAGAATCGGTATTGATGTGTTTGGTAGGAAGCAGCTCTGCCATCAGATGGATGAAGGTCACCTGCAGCAGACACTGTGTCCATCTGACAAACATCAACACATCGTCAAGAGACACATTGAGTAATAATAAAAATATACAGTTTGTAATATATCTGAACTCGCTTTCATGGGTGGGAAGCCAGTGAGGGATCAAATCAAGCAAAGAAACCTCCCAGAAAAAAACCTCTTGAAGAAGACCGTGTGAAAAACAGGGACAACGAAGGACTGAGACGTCGACTTGCTTCCTGCTTTCGTTAACTTTACTTTGAAGAGATTCCAGCTTCGTCACTGGACCAACAACCTACAAGTGCAACAAACAAACGTGTTAGTTAACGTGTCCAAACTCTAAATGTTCCTGCTGCAGTCAGTAACCGTAAAACTTCAGGTGTTTGTGATGGTTGACATCATGGAACCGCTTTTACTCGAACTGGGAAAATTAGAAGTGATGACCTTATAGTGGTTCTTGAAAAGATGTGTTCTGGAGTTTGTTTTGATCTGGAACTTGAACACTATTATTCTTTATATTGCAAATGAATGAAAATGTTCGACTGAAGCAAGTCAAATAAGTTACTAGAAGTTTTAATAATAATCAGATCCAGCAGTGTAGCAACAGGGAAATGGATTTATTATAGTTTATAATATATATAATGTACAATAAGTTTGTTATTAGGCATCTACTGGTTTATAATTTAGATTCTACAGAGTACAACATTGGAAACTTGACAGATAGTTTATTAGTTTATGGCTGAGTCTTGTTCCTAATAAGTCATTACATCAACAAAGAGCACTCACTAGCCGATTGTTTACAACATTTATTTGTAGTAAACATGTTGGCAGCCCTTTAATATTCTTTAAAAGGCTCCATTTACTTACCCGAGGGAACAAATCACACTGTAGGTCAAACCAATGAAAACCCTCCAAACAAAGCAGGTTAAAAATTCAACATCTTTAATAAACAAAGTGTTTGATATTTACAGCAAAGGTTTCGCTCGATGGCTAAAATTCGGTGACCCTCCTGAAGGAGCCAACGATGGCGCAGGTGGCGCACCAGTCGCGGTACCTCCGGTACTCCCCGGGCCGCAGGAAGTACTGTCTGCCGCGGTAGTTGGGGTACTCGTAGAAGATCCAGTAGCCGTTCATAACATTAGAGGAGTAGACGTGGCGATGGTGGAAACGGTCAGAAACACAGGGACAGTCATCCATGAACTCCATCATGTGGCCGCTGAAGTCAGGCTTCTCGTAGATACGCAATCTGTAGGAGCCTCGGTACTGAAGGAGCAGAACCAACAGACGACGGTCAAGAAACAAACAGAGAAATGTCTTCAAGTGGCAAAATTTAAGTGGACGTCATCTTACCATAGGAATCATCCGGCATGAGCGGATACAGCTGCTGAAGCCCATCCAGCGCTGGTAGTCGGGGTACTCGCCCCTCCTCATGAAGTACTGGTGGCCCATGAAGTTGGGTCGCTCGTAGATCATGAAGCAGCCGCTCTCCACCCGGATGGAGTTGCAGCGGCTGAAGTACGAGTGAAGGTCCGTGCAGTCGTTGCTGCACTCATAGCTCCGACCCTGGAAGTTTTTGTCCTCGTAAAAGATAATCTGGTGGAAAATAAAAGAGCATCAAGATCCGGTCCGGGTCCAACTCTGCCTGATTAACATTTCTCAGTTCAAAATCAAACATACTGGCAGCAACTTACTTCTAGCGCGAGCAGAGAGAAAACAGGACTTACCTTGCCCATGGTCTCCGTTGGAGAGATTCCCCATGTTTTCAGGGCTTTTTATACCACCTCTCCACAAACAAAGCATTGTTATTCAAATTCTCTGGTAGTTATAACTGAAGGCTACTGGCACATGTTTACCTTTGTGTTGGAGCACAACATTGGGTCAGAAATATGGATTTGTATTTGAAAAAAAGAGGATAAATAATTAAGCGGTTTGGTGTTTTGACACGTGTGGACAAAGGAAAAGACTAGTATGGTATCCACACGTCCAGTGGACAAAGGCTGCAGAACAATATGGAACAGCCCTTTCGCATTAAATATGTTGCGTAACAGAGCAGGAAGCCATTCATTCTCCCTCCTGCTCTACCTGAGCAGCTTCACTCCATGTAAATAAGTAAGTGTATACGGGCCGCTGTAGGCCACACCGAGGGTTTCTACAGGATCGTGTCCACTGTGCTGCGTTTAGCTGTGATAACGCCTCATTTGCCCCCACACCCAGGCGGTCTACATGGGCTTCACTTCATGGACTACAATTCCCTTCATGTATCACAGCCATATTTGTTTTGTTTGAAGACGTCCCTGATTTTATACCACTGCAAGATGAGCGTGTGCATTTCTGGACCAGTTATAGCAAATAGTGACCTTGTTTTTTGTCTCTGTCCAACACAGATCACATGTGGTTTGGGGTTTTCTGTTGCTGTCTGGTCCATAGTGTCCTGGTAGATCTCAGAGTGATCATATGTGAGCTTTATATAATGGTCATTTACATTTATTGGGGATACATTCGAAAACTTTCCAGTCTCAACTTCTATCCTGTATCAGAAGATGTAATTTTCTATTAAATCTTAAAACTCCTGTTCAGGTGTTTGGTGATGTTTGATTTATTATTTTGTTTCATGAAGCATCTGTGGCTGTTTCCTTATGACAGATACTTAAAACTCATCTGATGTTTGTTCCCGAAGCAAGTTTAGGCATTTTTGTCAACTTTTGTTTTGTTTTTCCAGAAACATTAAGACATTAAGACCAACAGCATGAGTCTAACTGGCTTTAGATAAATGTCTATTTTGAGGTATTTTAAGATAAAAAACAATAAAATGCGGCTGGCATTCATTTATGCTGGGACACGTGTTTAAAGACATGTGCTTTTAATATTTATTCATATGTGCTGCTTTATTAAATGAGCGTCAGTCTTTCGCTCTGGATACATTTTTGTGTGATTTTAATTTATCAGATGTGTTTAGAATCAGTTGCCTGTCCAACAGTCTGCACTGATGCTCTCTATGTCGTGTTCAACGCTAATCATATGGATAAATTCTGCTCACATCAAGACCAGTTAATCCTATCAGGGGCACAAACTGGGAGAGGGCAACACTGGCATTGTTTGGTATGGTATGCCTAAGCACAGAGGAGATTAAGCTCCGGTGCAAAGCTAACCACGGCTGCCAGACGGGAGAGGTTTTCTTTTCTGTGACTGAAAGAAGAAATCTGCAAAATTCATGGATATTTACAAAAACCAATGAGGCTTTGTGGTGAAGAAGTGCACAGAATGACAGATGGAGTATTTATTAAGCAGGTTTATTGAAGGAACTGACAGTTACAGAGTCTTGACTTCAGTTGTAGTCGGTGATCCTCCTGATGGATCCGACCCTCGGGCTGACGCCTCCCCAGTCACTGTACCGGCGGTACTCTCCAGGCCTCAGGTAGTACACTCGGCCCTTGTAGTTGGGCTGGTCGTACATCAGCCAGTGGCCGTCCATCACGTTGCAGGAGTTGAAGTCGGAGGCGCTGAGCCGGTCCTGGACGTTGGGACAGTCGTCCACCAGCTCGTGCATTTGGCCCGACATGTCAAAGCGCTCGTAAAGCCTCATCCTGTAGGAGCCTCGGTACTGGTACGGCATCAAAAACTCTGTTACTACCTCCTCTGACTTTCAGTTGTTCATTAGTAACATACTTCTTTACCAATTCTTTACTAATTTCCTGATTTAGAAGACAGAAAAGCTATCAACATTGCAAAAAAAAAAGCTCTTAGCACAGCCCTCCTAAGCAAATTGTCCAACCGCGTCTTTCTGACCTACCTGAGGGATCATACGGCAAGACCTGACACCGTCATTGATGCCGATCATGCGCTGGTTGTCAGGGTACTCCCCTCTCCGCAGGTAGTACTGGTTTCCCATGTAGTTGGGCCTCTCGTAGACCATGAAGCAGCCGCTCTCCACTCGGATGGAGTTGCATCGGTTGAAGTAGGTGTACAGGTCGGCGCAGTCGCTGCTGCACTCATGGTAGCGACCCTGGAAGTTCCTGTCCTCGTAAAAAATGATCTGGGAAAGCAACACAGACGCTATAACACAGCAGCAAAGGATGCACAAACTCCCTAAACACAAATACGAGTGTGCACAGAGCAGAGAGCCTGGCTAAACTGGTAGAGTTTAGTTTTCTTTACCTTTCCCATGTTGGCATCAGTCTGCATTAGCGGTCAATGCTGTCTCTGAGCCAAGCCACTGTGCTTTATAAAAAAAAGAAAGAAAGGGCAGCTGTGTGATTGCACAGCATAAAGTATTGTCATTCAAATATATCCCCCACACTGATGGTGGATCAGGGGAGCGTGGGTGGGAAAAATCTGTTTATGTATAGATGACTCTTGGTGTGTGATGAGTTATTGTTCTTTCTCCATGTTCATCACAATTTCCTCCCGAAAATGCTGCAATACAATAGCGGGCGTCCTGCACAGCATCAGCAGGATCAAACTGATCGCTAATCGGGCCGACACAAGGTAATCTGCACAATCCAGCAACTTTTTTTTTTTGTTGATGTGGGTCAGCGTCGTTCCTGAGGTGGCAGAAGACGTGAAAGATTTGCACAAACCTCTTATTTTTCTCACATCAGACGTTGGTTCGTCCTAAAGGCTGCCGGATGAACAACTCGTGCTGTGGCGTAAACACCTGAGATCCTCCTCACAACTGAACGCACTGTAAAGACTCGGTTTTACAATTGCTTTATTACAGCGGTGAGTGTTTGATCAGAAGCAGCTCAAGAAATGTGTTTTTGTTGGTTGTTGTTTTGTTGATGTGTGGTGAGGGTTTTGTGAGTCCATCTCAACGTCAGACATTCTGAGTAATATTTAAACAGCTTTTCAGGACATTAGGTCAGTAGAACACAGGTACACTAGTTTTTCTACAGTCTTACAGGCCGTTATCTCAACATTAAGTATTTCCAAAATGTCCTCCAAAGCAGGTCAGTAGTCCACGATGCGTCGGATGGATCCGACCCTGGCGCTCCTGCCGCCCCATTCGCTGAATCTCTTGTACTCTCCGGGCCTGATCAGGTACATCCGGCCGCGGTAGTGTGGGTGTTCATAGAAGAGCCAGTTGCCGTTGGTGACGTTGCAGGAGAAGATGTCGTTGATGTGGAATCGGTCCATGACGCTGGGACAGTCGTCCACCAGGTCCATCATCTGCCCGCCGAACTCGATCCGCTCGTACAGCCGCATGTTGAATGAACCGGGCTCCTGGTGTTGGACGGGACAGAAGCTGTAATTAATCAATCTTATACATCTTTCAATAATTACACATTTCATCCAATGTCCCGTTTACATTGTTAAATATAATCGTGGCACGTTGTATTGGCGAAACAAAGATTGTAATTTTCTTTTTTAACTGAAATGTAAATAATTGCCCATCAAAGTTTAAGTAGTTGAATAATGTCTACAACACATTTTATCGCAGTTATTTTACAATATATATTAGAATTATATAATCCCAGACCTACATAAATAAATACATAATTTATAAATGTATGCACTGGATGAATTCCCCTGAAATTTACTTTAAGTATAGTCCTATAAAACATCCATTACTTTGTTCTTTATGCCTGCAGAGCTAATTCTATTTGCCTCTACTGCACTTAGCATGCTAACATGCCAGACTAACATGGTGAATATGGAGGACATGACACCTGTTTAGGGCACATTAGCATCGTCATGTGGACCAAACGATCACGGTTCACATTATAGCTGTTTAACACCGGTATTGTGAGCATGTTAGCATGCTAAAACACCAAACTACAATGGTTAAAACATGGTGAACATTATCAGAATCAGCACTGTGACCATGTTCGCTTGCTAACACAGAAAAATTAAGATGGTAAACATGGTAAACGTTATACCTATTCAGTAACAGCACAGTGGCATCATCCCTGCAGGCATGTATGCTAACATTACAATTAGTGTAAACTTTGTTGACTCATGCTACCAAAGGGAAAGCAGAATTTTGTTTTTGTCCTTGGCTCCTCAGATTAGATTTTTTTTGCCAAAAATTCCATACTTTCTATACCCCCCAACCATTTTTATTACTAAAAGCAACACACAGCAGTGTTAGCATCCCTTTAGCATCAGATTTTACCACTTTTATGTCAAGAATAAAGACATCAGTTCTTCAGACAAAAACCTAACTACACCAAAACAGCATCTGAGCCACTGAGTTAACATCTCTTCAGGGTAAAACAACCGTAATCATGGTAGTAAAGTATGTGAAACTTTTCTGGAAAGGAAACAGAAACATCCCATTAGCACCATAGTTGTGTGTGTTCACATTAGCATGCTACATGTAGCATTCAGCTACAGCTACTGGAGCAGCTAGTTACTGTAGACTTCGTCATGTCACAAACAGCAACATATTTTATGCCTTTCACCAAAAAAAAAAAAAACACCAAAACTTTAAAACACCAACTGAAACCCTGAGTTAGCATCTCTTTGAGGTGAGATGATGGTGTGATAATGGTTTGTTTTGTCAAATATTGTACTAACTGGAGAAAAAATAAGAATAATAAACTTTTTTTCAAAGAGAATTAACAGTCATGACATGTTAGCGTCATCACTGTGAGCATGTTAGTGGAGTAAAGTTAGCATTTAGCTAAGAACAGCCTTATGGAGCTGTTAGCTATTGTACAACACGTGTAGACCAAAGTTACCAACAGGGACACATTTTAGGTCTTTTGATTGTCTGATTTGACCATAACTTTAAAAGTCCAACAGTTTCCCTGAAATAAAAACACACTGACACTTCAAAACACCAACTGAAGTACAGAGTTAGCCTCTCATTAA